GGCTGCCTCCTGCACAGCCCTACACTGGGGGGTGGAGCCTGCAACTGAGGCACATGCCCTGACCTCCTGGCACTGAGCATGCCAGCTGGCTCCTCTCATTCTTCTTAAACCCACTCCAGTCAAGCATTCACTCCTAACCTTTACCCAAACTGGGTGTCAAAGACAACAGTCTCATGGTTTGAAATAGCATTTATGTGCTGATGACTCCCAAATGTATATCTTCACCGACTTGTATACACAACTATGTACTTGACATCTCCTCTCTTGGGTATCTAATAGTTCATTTCAAATTCAGTGTGTTCAAAACTGAACATTTGATCTTTAGCCCCTCAAAACCTGCTCTATGCACAGCCTTCACCATCTCAACTGATGGCAATTTTAAAACTCCGATAAAATAAAAAACCTTGGACTCCTCATCAATTCTGTTTATCTCACTGCCCACTTTCAATCAGACAGGATATCTTATCCTGAGAAAATATCTAGAATCCAACCTCTTCACTTCCACTTCTTTTTTAAAAAAAAAAAAAATATATTTTTATTGATTTTTTACAGAGAGGAAGGGAGAGAGATAGAGAGTTAGAAACATCGATGAGAGAGAAACATCCATCAGCTGCCTCCTGCACACCCCCTACTGGGGATGTGCCCACAACCAAGGTACATGCCCTTGACCAGAATCAAACCTGGGACTCTTCAGTCCACAGGCAGATGCTCTAGACCAGGGGTGGGCAAACTTTTTGACTCGAGGGCCACAATGGATTCTTAAACTGGACTGGAAGGCCGGAACAAAAGCATGGATGGAGTGTTTGTGTGAACTAATATAAATTCAAAGTAAACATCATTACATAAAAGGGTACGGTCTTTTTTTTTTTTTTTTTTTTAGTTTTATTCATTTCACAATGGGCCGGATCCGGCCCGCGGGCCGTAGTTTGCCCACGGCTGCTCTAGCCACTGAGCCAAACTGGTCAGGGCTCCACTTCTTTTACTTTGATCTGAACCATCCTCATCTCTCACCTGCGTTACAGCAACCGCCTCCTAACTGGTCTGAGTCTACACCTGCTCCTACAGTTATTGTATTTCCTACACTGCAGCCTTTTTTCGAAGGAGGCCTCAAAGGACTCCTTTGCTCAAAGCTGTCTCTGTTTTTCTCAGAATAAGGGCTAAAGTTTTTACAGTGAGTTATGAGACCCTAGATGAGTTGGCCTCTTTTATGTCTCTGATTTTATTACTCTCTCTTTTTAAAAAAAAATATATTTTTATTGATTTCAGAGAGGAAGGGAGCGGGAGAGAGAAAAATATCAATGATGAGAATCATTGATTGGCTGCCTCCTGCATGACCCCTACTGGGGATCAAGCCCACAACCTAGGCATGTGCCCTTGACCGAATCAAACCCGGGACCCTTCAGTCCACAGGCCGTCACTCTATCCACTGAGCCAAACCGGCTAGGGCTGATTTTTATTACTCTCTTCGCTTACACAGGCATGGCTCCCCTTGGGCCCTTCTGCTCCTTTCCCCTCTGCCCAGTCGGTCTCTTCTGAGCCTTCCCTAAGGCTAACTACTATCCTGACTTCTAACAACATATATTAGTTTTACCTGTCTTTGTTCTTTATAAAAATGGAATTGTACAGTAAGGGCTCTTTTTTGTTGTTGTTAATCTTCACTGGAGGATTATTTTTTCCATTGATTTTTAGAGAGAGTGGAAGGGAAGGAGAGGGAGAGAGAAACATCAATGTGAGAGAGACACATTGATTGGTGGCCTCCCGCACACGCCCCGACCAGGGCCAGGATCAAACTTTCAACCCAGATACATGCCCTTGATGGGGAATTGAACGTGAGACCCTTCAGTGTGCCAGCGACGCTCTAACAACTGAGAACACTGGCCAGGACCAGTGAGGGCTCTTTGTGTCTGTCTTCTTCTGCTCAACATATTAATGAATTTCACCCATGTTGTTGCATGTAATTATAGTTTGTTCATTCCTATTGTTGTATAATAATAATCTATTGTGTGAATATAAACCAATTTACTTATCCTGAATGAACAATTTAAGATTCCCAGATATTTTTTCTTTAAAAAAAAACACACAAACACCAACATTTTTATTGATTTCAGAGAAGAAAGGAGTGGGAGAGAGAGATAGAAACATCAATGATAAGAGAGACTCATTGATCGGCTGCCTCCTGCATGTCCCTTACTGGGGATAGAGGATTGAGCCCACAGCCCGGGCATGTGCTCTGACCGAGAATCAAACCGTGACCTCCTGGTTCACAGGTCGACACTGAGCCACTGAGCCATGCCGGCCGGGCTCTTTTCTTTGTTTTTGTTGTCACCAGTGTTGTTGTGAAGATTAAGTGAATTAATACACAGAAAGCATTTTTTTTTTTTTTAGAAACAAAAGCCCACTTCATTTGGTCATTTCTCGTTTGGAAGTACTCCTCGATGACATCGTATGCCTGAGACTCTTTGCCATAGTCCTAGAAAAAGGTGATATGGGCCCAGCTGGTGTGGCTCAGTGGTTGAGGATCGACCTATGAACCAGGAGGTCATGGTTCTATTCCAGGTCAGGGCACATGCCTGCTTGCAGGCTCGAACCCCAGTGTGAGGTGTTCAGGAGGCAGCTGATCAATGATTCTATCTCATCACTGATGTTTCTATCTCTCTCTCCCTCTCCCTTCCTATCTGAAATCAATACAAATATGTTTAAAAATTTTTTCTTATAAGTCATTTTCAGGGATCTTGTTGACTTCAATGTCTTTAGTCTGGTATACGGCTTTACTATTGCCAGCATTTGTATAAGTTTCTGCAGACATGTTCACTAAGCAGGCCCATTGGCTGGCTTCAGAAAAGCATTAGCATGTATCCAGTATATAGTGGTGTTAGGGTTTTGGCTGTGACTCAGGCTGTGAAAGCATTCACAACTTAAAGGAAGAGATAGATGCAGAGAGAAAGTTTTATTATTTTTACTCTCCCCAAAGGGAAAGGGCCTGGTGAACGCTAACCAATACAAGGGCCAAGAACAAAAGGCTGCTCCCCTTTAAAGCCTTGGCTGCTGTTGCTAGGTGACGAGGAAGGGAGGGGGGCTTTGGGGGCTGGAGTTGAGCATACATGGGGGGTTGTCTTTGAAAAGTCTGTTTGTTTTTTAGTCTGGGCAGATGTCCTAGGAAGGTGTCTTTATCAGCATCTTCACCCAAACCTGTATGTAAAACATGCAAAGAGTAAAAGTTATGGGAGAGATCAACCAAAGGACTTGTATGCATGCATATAAGCATAACCAATGGACACAGACACCAGGGGGGTGAGGGCATGAGTGGGGGTGGGGGGTGGAGGTGGAGGGGCAATGGGGGGATAAGGACACATATGTAATACCTTAATCAATAAAGAAAAAAAAGTAAAGGTATGAAGAGTTCAAAAGAGGCTTTGTTTGAAGAGGAGGGGAGAAGGGAACTTCCTACTAATTATCCCTGATTTGTAAAAAACAGCAGCGAGGAGGGGTATGTATGCAAGAACGTAGCCCTGAGAGTAGCTTATCTTGTCTTGCAGTTTGAACAGAGGGGCTGTTTGAATCAGAGGAGCTTCTCATAAGTCGTGGAAGGCCACAGCAAAGAGAAAGGGAGGCCTTTTTTTCTTGTTTTCACACTCACAGGTAGGTGCTTAATAGAGGCTAGCTATTGATTTTGTTATATTCAGATACTTTATTCACTCATGATCTCATCCTCATCTGAAGTGCTAGGAAGTCGCTGCAGCATTCTTCAGGATGCCAGCCTGGCTTCCCCATTGCGAGGGCCAGCATGGGTGGCCTCAGGGGCCCAGTGTGTCCTCAGTACAGGGAGCAAGCTGGGCAATTGGGTTCCCTCTTTGCAGGGAGTCGGGAAAGCTGAACTAGTGGCTAGTGACTGGGGGTTGCTGGTCAGCTCACCTGGACCCCCTGGAGGAAAGCTTCAGGGCTAGTCTCACTGAGCTCTTTGGCTTCTGCCTTCCCAGGGGGTTGGCTGTCTAACCCTTTCTGCCGTCCAGGGACCCTGAATCCCTAGCATCGCCCTCAGTGTCCTCCGAAGCCAAGCCCCCTCACCCTTCATTAGATAGCTTCAGTTTTATAGCTTGTCCCCAAAAGAACCTCAGAGACTCATTTAAGACTTAAATTGTCAGGGCTTATAGTGTTGTGGATCCTTTACTTCATTCAATTACACCAGTCCTTTCATCCATCCATCTGTCCATCCATCCATTCAGTTTGTTGTTGTTGTTGTTAATCCTCACCTGAGGACATTTTTCCTTTGATTTTTAGGGAGCGTGGAAGAGAGAGGGAAAGACAGAGAGAAACATCAATTGGTTGCATCCTGCACGTACCCGGACCAGGGAGGAACCTGCAACCAAGGTACGTGCCCTTGACCAGAAACAAACCCGGGACCTTTTGGTCCACAGGCCGATGCTCTATCCACTGAGCCAAACTGGCTAGGGCCAGCCACTCACTTTTAAAGATTATTGAGGGCTAATGATATGTCAGGCACTGCAGGGTGGAACATGTTTATCTTTCTTTTCAGGTGAAAGACTCAGAGAGGCTGAGTGATTTGTTAAGGTCATAAAGCTTATAGTGATGGAGAATGTTGGTTCAAGATAATCCTTGCTCTTCGCGATAGGCCTGGGTTCCTTCCTTCCTTCCTTCCTTCCTTCCTTCCTTCCTTCCTTCCTTCCTTTCTTGTCTGTACTTGTCTTTTCATACCCCCTAACTTCCTTGAGGTCAAGGCTATCTTATACATCTGGAATCTCCCTTGCATACACAACCATTTGCTGTAGCCCTGACCAGTTGAGTGTCATCCCATGCACTAAAAAGTTTCAGGTTCAATCCCGGTCGGGGTGCATAGGAGAGGCAACTGATTGATGTTTCTTTCTCACATCGATGTTTCTGTCTATCTCTAAAAAATAATTAAAAATCAATAAACACATCCTTTGGTGAGGATTAAAACAAAACAAAACAAAAAACTATCTGCTGTAGTAGTTACATTGCTCATTTCAGCAAATCCTTGCTGCCCGTCCCTCAAAGATGCTTCACTTCTTTCCAACCCCGGGAAAAATCCCCAAACAGAGACCATATGACTTCATCTAGAGAAGGAGGAGAATTTATTTTAGTTCGACTCTGGCTCACAATTTTGTCTTCTTTTTTTGTGTTGGAGTCATGAGAAGCCCCTTTAATCCCACCACAAATCAGGGCAACTCAGAGATAGCTTTCTTGGCTGGAGGACATGTTGGCTTCTCCTGCTCCCTTGCTTTCTCTTCGTACATCAGGATCCTGGTTGAGATGGGAAGAGACATAGGGGTCAGGAAACAATCCTCTCAAGAGAATCAATCTGAGGCGGCTATGAAAGTCCAGAAGAAGATGAGGGTTTCGAGGTGGGAGGAGGAAGAAGGACGGGGGTGGGAGTGCGGGGGGCTGTGGGACCAGAACCATGGATGGGGATAAGGCCTTGGAAGGGTTCCTCAAAGGACAGAAGGAGTGGGTGCTGAGTGTGTGTAAGGGGAGCCTAGGGACTGGAGCAGGGTGGGGAGGAAACCCGTCAGGACAGGGGCGGCTGGAACTGGACCGAGGGCCACCCTGGCTCTGGCCGCCCCCTGCAGTCCCTCACATTTTGAGGATGGCAGATCTCTTGCCCAACATCATCCTGAGGAAGTCGGAGTAGTCGAAAGTCTCCCCAGAGCCCTTGGAAACCTCCTTGATTAATTTCTTTAGCTCCAGGTGAGTCTTGGGTACCCCAAGTTTCTCCAACATTCGCTTCAGGGACATGATATCTGGAGATAAAGGATGGGAGTGAGAAGAGGGGATTTCTCTCTCTCTCTCTTCTGTGCTGCCACATTCCCAGTCCCTTCCTCTAATCCTGGTGGCTGGACTCTTTCCCAAACCATCTTATCCCCATCTGATGGAGCACAGTAGGAGAGACCTCTCCCTGGGTCTGCACACCCCCCACCCCCCTTTTCTCACCGATATCTCCGTTTCCATTCAGGTCAAACTCCATGTATTTCTCTGGGTGAGGGGAGAAAGCAGAGGTAAGCTCTGGCTGGAAGGGCAGGGGCAGGGCAGAGCACTGAGAAGCGGGCTGCTACGAGTGCTGGGTAGGGGAGGCGTGGGAGAAGGGGGGCAGGCAGAGGAAGCAGGGGTTGGGTTGAAGCGCCCTGTTAAGGCATCCTGAACTGAGAGGGGCTGCTGCGAGGGGCTGACCAGGGAAGGGATGCGACCAGGGAAGGGGTAACGGAGGCAGTCTTCCTTCTTCCAACCACACAGTACTGTGTCTGCTCTCCCCGCTCTGTTTCTGGGGAACTCCTGCCCCCTCGCCTCCCACCCACCCCTACAGTTTTCCCCTCACTCTTGAAAGCTTCCAATTTGGAGAGCAGATCCTCATCACTGTTGTATTTGGGGTCATCCAGGAATTGCTGTGGGAAAAGCCAGAGCCAGGGTAGGCCCTCTGTCCGGGCCCCTCCCCCAGCCCCAGCCCCAGCCCTTCCCCCTTAGTTCCCCCTTTTACCTTATTGATTTCATCCAGTCTCTCTTCCTGCTGGGCCTTCAGCAGCCCAAAGGCCTTTCCTCCTGAGGGGGCACAAAAGTTAATGTAGCCCCGCCACGGCCCACCAGCCCCAGGCATCGCAGTTATGCTGTCGTAGGCCAGTAACTGCCCTGCTGGCCCCTGGGCCCACGTCTGTCACTCTTGCTCACGTGAAAAAATATTTTTAAAAAAAAATTGATTTCAGAGGGGAAAGGAGAGGGAGAGATAGAAACATCAATGATGAGAGAGAATCATTGATTGGCTGCCTCCTCCCCCTCCCCCCCTCCCCCGCTGAAGGACTGACTTCCAGGATTGAGCGCTGTGCAAGGAACCGTACCCGGGACTCTTCCGCTACTATTGACTGTTACCCTGTAACATTGACACAAACCAGTTAGAGACAAAG